TTCAAGAAGCAGTATAAATTTTCCGCATGAACTCACCGTCAAATTTTAACCAATCAGAGCATAAAAATTGGACGTAGAGCGTGACCAACGCGTGACCATTGTGAGAACAGTCAAAAGCAACTGTCTTCCTTGCCTGTAATAGCCTAGCTGACTGAATTTTCGCGTCCGAGGTCAGTTTGAAATCAACATTTTAATCTGTGTGGCACTTAAACACAACATATTTTAAAAAAAAAAAAAACTTGAGCCTGCGACGATTTGAAATCTAGTAACTTGTCAGGGGATAACTTCAAAAAAAACTTGACCTCGATGGGCCGACACCTGAGACCGCGATACGGTTAGGTGATACTGGGCAGCAGATACCCTTTTTGACAGCTGTCAATTTATCACAACATCGATGTGCTATATGTGTGCAAGATCAGTTTTTCTATGCTCCCAAATGAGCTAGAAAGTGTGAAATTGAACATTGGTTTCCCTGTGGTGCGGACGGACGGGCGGTGTACGGTCACGTGAATACCAAATTTTCTGGGATGGGTAGATTTACTTACCCATGGTGCTCCGTTGGTACGCTTTGCGCGCGGAGCTCCGATATTAAACCAGCAAATAAACAGTCAGAGACAAAGGATGAGGTCAATAAGTAACATCACTATATAAACAGCAGAAACGTGTGAGGTACAACCCTGAAGTGGCACAATCAGGTTTTCTTTTTCTCTTTTTTAGTGCGGCTTGATGTTTACAATGATTTGATCTGCGCCGATTCGTCATGATTACCAAAATGTCTCTTTTAAATTTGATTTATCACCGAAGCATTCTGTTATATCGAAATGTTTACAGGTATTATAAGGAACGACCTACCTCACGAATTACGGCTCCTGAAGCGAACGATATGTTCTAAAAATTTTTCGCCACTTCCGAGAAGGCCGCAAGGAGGAGTGATTGACAGCTCTCCAAAGTAGATCTCAAAGCTCAGCCAGAAAGTGAGACAACGTGTCTCTCACTTGTTCGAGTTTGTCTAGGCCTAAAAAACTCGCTCGAACCATGTGACCCAGAACGCATGGGCCGCGCGCAATATTGAGGCCTAGAGACTTGGCAACTTTAAGCAAAATTGCTTTGTCGATGGCGTGTTCACGAAGTACATCAGTTTCGATGGCTCCATTAAACATGACAGAACTTAAATTATGGTTCTGGTTAAAATATATTGTTTTCGACTGAGTCACTTGTCTTAAAATAAGCTTAATGCAGAACGTAGGTTTTCGACAAACAACACGCTTTTTACAATAACTTTGATTTCATTAAGAGGTCTTACAGGAACAAACTTTTATAGCCTCGGAATACACAGAATATCACCCACTTAGAAACATTTCAGACCCGGGGGGAGACACGAATCCATTTGTCAGGTCCAGTTGCAGGTCAATTTCCATTTCTTACTGAAAATTTTCACTTATAACTAATGAAGTATTTTGTTGTGCTCTTCACTAAACAAGGCCTATCAGAACTGGGTAGCAAAGAACGGCGAGGAATCCAGACTTCCAGGAATGAATCTGACCAATGAACAGATCTTTTTTATCAGCTTCGCAAGAGTTAGTAAATCAATATTATCATGTATTTAAAATGTGCTGTGTTTTGATTTTGTGATTGGGCCTTGTTTGTTTGTCTGTTCTATTGGTTTTTTTTATTTTTGATAGAATGATTGATTGATTGATTGATTGATTGATTGATTGATTGATTGAGGCAAAAACTAATAGTAGTCTCCTTATAATCTTGATTATGTAATCTACCAAGTTTCACTGAGCAGATAATGTCCCCTAAAACTTTCACTTCTTCACATAAGGACGTGGAGAGGGTGCCGATTCTGCACACTGCTTGTTGTTGACACCCTGTTAGTAAGGGGCTTAATATTTTAATAGTATAATTACTTGAGAACATACCAATTTCTTAAATTAATTAATTTTTTTTCTATTTTATTAAAGAATTGGTGTTCAGTATTTTCAGCCCAAGGTGAAGAGATTGCAATGATGAGTGAGCATAGTCCGGCGCCATGGAGGTAAAATCTTGTTAACTTACAATAATTGTAGCAATTCCACCAAATTAGTTGTACTGTTACATGTAGTGTTAATTAAAAGATTCAACCAACTTAGCAAAACAAAAGCATTATACTGTATTGATAACAGTACCTGTCAATTTTGCGCGGACATTAGACTGCATTTCTTCCCACTTTCTGTAACAGAAAATAGTAGTTCACTCGGCGAAAATATAACAGGTGATTTCATTGTAGCTCGTCTATCTCTTGATTGTTTTCAACCCCAAGACTCTTCGTTACGATGTCTGAAATGATTCTCGATTGTGTAACAACGGCGTTGTAGCTTCTTTGTCGCTTAAATGGTAGATTTTTCGCTTTCATTTTAATAAAAAGTACAAGAAACACCTTCCCTGGAACTTGCTGAATGCTTATCCAGGATTATTATTCAGTCAAAATATTTCACTGATTCTGATTGGCTAAAAACACACGCATAATTCACCAAAACCAGCTACCGATGACCAAATTTGGAAGAATTTTGCGTTTTATAAACTGATGACGTCAAAAGTGCAGCCTTCTTGCAGGTTAATGCACCGTTAACCGAGAAGACTTGGGGATTTTTCACTCGTTTCAAGAGTAAGAACTGGGCGAAATTATAGCTAAAAACATGGCAAGAACAGCAAGAACACAACTCGAAGGGCGTCATCTGCTATTTGGAGAATATCTGCAGAGCCGCGGCTGAACAACTCTAAACGTGCACTATCGAAGATGAACTTAACATCGATGGAGGTAAGCATGTTTTAGCTTTGCTTTTAAACTACGAATTATTTTGAATGAATGAATTCGGCTTTCGTATCATATGAAGAATTATGGAGACCTCGGAGGGTGTTATCCGCACTCGGCCTACGGCCTCGACGGATAACACCCTCCTCGATCTCCATAATTCTTCATTAGATACTCAGTCTCATTCATTAAGTGTTAAATATATCTGGTTAAAACCGGTTTTGTTCCTGAATTTCAAAGTTCGAGAAATCAAATGTAAGTTTATGAAAGGACAGAGTATTAGTTTGAAATATCGGGTTACGGTGTCCGACCGAAAGAAAAAACTAAGGGAAACTTCTTTTGGTTCGAAAAACTGGGAGTTTCGAGTGTTTTAAATGAAACATTGAATAGCGATCTGCATTCAAATTTAAATTCTTGTTCAATTCATTTTAATGAATACAGCCTTGCTCAGCTAGTTAGGAAAAGCTATCAAAAGTTGATTTTGCAATTGCTTATTATTTCATCAACCCAGTTGATTTATATTGGGGTTTCCAGAAGCGTAAATGGGACATGTTCCTTTTTATTTGTCACAACTTCAATCTATAAATTAAGAATTTAAATTTCAAATCTTGCCCTCCTCTAAGACAAAGCTAAAGCTAGTGTACAACGTAACTAACCCAAACAATTTGTGTTCTCTCAAGGTTTTTACAAGGGCTTTGAACTTGTTTCTGCTTTCCTTCTTTAGAACAAAAGCATCTCTGATGAACTTCCCGGAATTTGCTGCAGCATTCAAATGCCGTTTAGGGAGCCCAATGAATCCGATCAAGAAATGTGCGGTCTGGTAACGAGTCCAGAAACACGATTTTCAAGTTGATGATTTGAAAATCAAGTCATTCTTCATTTAGACTTTTGATCCTACTGCACGGCTTTTAGTGCTAGCTTCTAATCTCGTTATAACACTTTTTTTTTGCCCTCTAAGAGACTGCTTATTCGAATGTTTCTTTTGACATTTCGTTGCTTTCATGGTATTTGTCGGTACAGCTGTCTCATTCATTGATAATCTTCGTCCTTCAAAACTGTCGGAAAGCGAGACGCCATTTAAATTCCCGTCCTAAATAGCCAAGGATATCTATAGTTGATACTTTCGTGATACTTTCGTGAATGAGAAAACGCTTTGTCTTGAATAAAGTTCGTCACGAACTAAATTTCGTTTTATACAAAGGACCCGCGCATTACATGTAAAATATACATGTTAAGGTTTTGAACTAGCTTCACTTTTATCTAATAGACAACAATGTAAATGGGTAAATAAAAGACTTCCTGTCTGTGATGACTCTTTCCGAGACTGTTTTTAACAAGGCTTCCCAAAGAACACTATCCGCAGAATTTAAAAAATCATATACATTTATAAATAATAAAATCAAGTTGAAGCGAATATGTGGGCAAAACATTCGAGAAACTTTTACGTGAAGGAGATCGTTCCCGAGAGGATGGGAAAACTACTCACAAGTATTAAGGAAGGGTAAAATAAATTTATGGGAATCTTGCATTTCCTCTGGATAATCGAGCTCCCGCCCACACGAAACCAATCACAGACTTCATTTGCGAAAATTGAATTAGGTTGGCCCTCCATCAAAGATAAGCTATTAGTCCGTGATACTACCCAAGTATACAAAATTGTTAGCCTCGCTCCGTTGTACTTGAGTATTAAACTCAGTAAGCGATCAGACGCACACCACTACAACACGAGGAAAAGGGACAATCTAAACCTCCCTCTATGCATAACAGTTACTGCGCAACGGTCATTTTACTATCGCGCTGTAAGTGCCTGGAACTCCCTGACTGCAGACACTAGAAATAGCCCGTCACTATGTACCGTCAAATTGCGATACATACACATACAATACAATACAATACAATACAATACAATACCTTTATTTGCCTTGTACTTAATTATATACATGAAAGAGAAAAAAAATATATATATATTTATTTGTACTTAATAAGGCCTGGAGCTGAAATAATCCTAAGATTTCCTAGCCAGTTCTCCAGAATTTAAAGTTTTAGAGAATTGAGATAGAATTTATTTCCAAAGAGGCAGTTTTAAATACAATGTATTAAGAAAGAAAGAGCATATGCTTAAGTTATGTTAACTATGTTGTTCTGACAGCAAATAAGGTTTCAATTGTTTTTGGAATTGGTATGTGTTTAGTTCTTTAAGAGTTTAGGGAATTTTGTCCCAGACGGTACATGCAGCATATCCGATTGTTTGTTTCCCCGTATTAGTTCGCACTTTTTTTACGTAAAGATTCTGTTTCGATGCATATCTGGTATTGTATTTGTGGACATTACTGGCATATTGAAAATAGTTTGAGAACAGCTTTGGCAGGAGGCGTTTATGCCAGAGGTACGTGAATTTTAGAATCTGAAATCGATAAACATTATGTATCGTAAGAACGTCTAATAAATTTAGCAGGGGAAGTGCACTTTCTGTGTGTTCACCATAATTGGTGGCAAAGGAAATAAAAAAGAAAATAAGCCTAGCAGAATGATTTTGCTTAGCTTCTATCTTATCAATATGTGTTTTGTATGCACTCACCCATGCCAATATTGCGTAAGAGATATATGGGTTTAGTATATACACACTCGGTGATCTTGGTAATTCAAGCAATCTGATTGGTTAGCTATCTCGGACTATGACGTTATATTCACCGCGCTAGGCGGTGAATATAAAGCAGAACAAAATCGCAGTCCTGAACTGGGTGTTTTGCCAAAGTTTCATAGTAAAGCCTCTTTGAAAATACAAGAATATCTAAGTGCTGATGACTTTGAAGGCAGGAAAAGACTTCATGGTGTTATTGTGAAGTGGTTTACTGTAGCTGACTTTTTGTCCGCTCGAAGCTATGTTTACCACTACAGAGGAAAACGAGATCACTTTGTCACTGTTTTGTGATTTCGGGATTTTCCCACAAGACCAATTTTGCCTATAAATAGAAGTTAATTTATGGAGAAAAGAGGAAGGAAAATATTTTCAAAAATTTTACGTGCTAGCAAGTTAACAAGGCAAAGAACATTGGAGATAAGCAACGCTCACCTTGATCGTAGCCGCTGTTGACAACATTTGCAAGAAGCGACAAAGAAAACTTTCTCATTCACGGTGAGTTGACAGAAACAAACAAAGCTCTACTTTTCTTCTCAGAATTGGGTAGTAATTTAAATTTTCGGCGTTTTCTTTTAAACCGTTGATGCTAAAGATTACAAAACTCGATACAAAAAGATTAAAACTATCATTTGCCATGTTTGAAGATACTGTAAAGATCTAACTTTTTCGCATCCACCGTTTACAGCTTCGTGTTCACTCATGAATTCACCCGTCAATCAAAGTATCGTTTTTTAATGGTTTCCTTTCTGGTTCTGTTGGAATATCTAATGCCGACTTGTCTACTTTCAAACTCATTATTTTGTCATATACTTCAGTAGGGCAGATGCCACGGAACATAAAACCACTTGGTGTCATAATTCTATCTAAATACACTGAAGGGTCTATGTCATGTTTTGGTAGTTTATCTCCTAGGCCATTTCCAACATTTATAAAATGGCTGTTTAATTGATCACAAATACTCTGCTTGTCTATATACATTCTATTGTCACGCAGCAGTTTCTTGATTGTATGATGAGTATTTTCTTTTTTTGTTCTTTTTACTTTGCTAATTAATTTCCATGTGCATTTCATGTTTTCTTTGTTCAGTTCAAATTGTTGAGAAAAATAATTCTTTTTAGCTGCGTGTATAATCCTATTCAACTTATTACTATATCTGACCCTCCACAGGAATTTGATGCTAAAGGTGAAAGCACGCTCACGACACGCTTACACGACACGCTTAGCGTGCCGTAGATCACGGATATGCACATATTAAATTGAAAAAACCAAGAAGGACACACTTGCCTTTGTTTTGGGTAAATTTAACACGCTAGACCCTTTTTTTTTTTGTAGCGCGCCATATGCCACGGTGAGTGTGCGAATGTGCACGCACGCTTAGCGTGCAATTTGGGTAAGACACGCTGAACACGCGTGATTACTAAAACTGCTAAGATGATAAAAATGGGTTGGGTTTTCAGGGGATTTAATCAGCATAGTGAGCCAAATATACCAATTGAGACTGTTTTAGAATTTGATCGTAACCGTAGCCATTTGAAAATTACCACTTAATGGTCGTCTAGCCTGGAATTAACGCGAAATCAGTGTAAACCAAGCTAAACCAATTCCTCTAGTCCGGCTGTCGGCTGTTGACCGGAATCGCAAAGAGGCCTGCTATCGCATGCGAGGCACTGAAGTTATGTCGCCTGAAAATTATAGTTATGCCACCGGAATATTCGTTAGCAGTAATGCACAGAGAAATGAAGTTGAATCAATTAGTTTAATATATTTCTTTAAGCCATGCTGAGACGAACGAAGGTAAATCGGAGAAACAAAAACTGCCTAGAATTTTCTATAGTTTGAGGAAGGCTAAACATTTCTAGATGACCGTTCCATGCATGTACTATATCTCGTTCTTCACAGGACGAAAAAAATAAGATTATGTAAACTAAAAACACTGTAGAATACTAGACCCCGTTGCGAGAAACACAGAGGCAAACGTGTTTCCGTTAGCGAGTACATCATGGCAAGCCCGTTTTTCCATGTTTCCTTCGCTGCGTTCGTAACAGACGAAGCAATAACGATAATTCAGTAGTACTATGGAATATATTTCTTTTTTTTTTAACTTTGATGAGACGAAACAAGCGCGATAAGTTTGAGGTAATACCAGGGACATGTTGGATGTTGAGATTGGTGAAATTTCAGGCTTCATGAGTGAGGATTGCGGGCGACGTTTCTGTGAATTTTGGGCGACAAAACTGATATTATCAGGTTTTGGACGACATAACTTCAAACGACATCACTTTCGACCAGCTTGACCGTCACCCCTTTAGATCGAGCTCGATCTGGGTCCGTACTGTATAAATTAGTCTTTACTAATTTGTGTCTTTGTCTGATTGAGTGCATGATTGCTTTCGAAATCCAAGGCCTTTCTAAACGCTTTCGTTGCCGTTTTGATGTTTTGCGCAAAGGAGCATGACGGTCTGTGATAGCGCTCAGGTTGTCTACAATAGTAGTTACACTTTCATCAACATCAGTTGATATCAAGCTTTTGAAGTCAACTGCAAGTAAATCTTGGTGAAACGCATTTTCATTTAAATGTCTAAAGTCTCGAAAAAACCTTGGTTCATTATTTGTAGGCAGTGTGTTGGCCATTGTAAAGAATACTGGTAGATGATCAGAAATATCAGCAAGGCAGAGTCCAGATTTAATTAGCTTTTCGGGCGTATTTGTGTATATATGATCGATAAGAGTGACCGTTTGGTCCGTTATTCTGGTTGGTTTGGTAATAATTGGCATAAAACCTAAGCTAAGAAGCATGTCTAGGTACTCTGCAGTCGGTTACCTTTAGGATGTCTATAGACACTGCCTATTACAACATTTTTTTGTGCAGTACGTGCCAGCTCTATCCGGCATGACTCTATTCCATCATCCGAGATATCTAAGTCACTCCTTCTTGAAAATTCCAAGTCATTAAATAAATAAAGACCAACACCTCCTGCCTGCGTTTTTGAGTTAGTGTTCACAAAAGAATAACCAGGAATATTCAAATTTGCACTCGCGTTTTCATTAATTTTACTCTCCGATATTGCAATGATATCTGGCGTTGTCTTAACTGTGCTTAAAATATCATGCAGCTAGGATTTGTTTTTTTTCCAAACTACGAATATTACAATGGAATATCGAAAACCCTTTTTCGTTTACAAGCGTCATCAAATATTTTGCCAGACTTTTTAACTGAGTAATAGTGAGATTCAATGTAATTATCATTAAATGGGTCATTTTTGTCTGGTGAAACAACTATATCCCTGTATAAGTGTACTTTTCCAGAAAGTCGATCTTCCGAGTTATAAACCCACGAACCTATGGTTTTTAGGAATTCATCATTTTCCAAATCTTGAAAAGGAAAAGAGTAATTTGGTATTACTCTAATACCGGTAACGAAGTTATTATGATAGTGCACTATTATAAGCTATGGAAAATTGTGGTAATAAATACTTAGTAAAGAGTAACAACATGATAGAAGTAATATACCGGCTACACTACTTATCTTATAGGAGCGATTCCAATTGGTTTGAACGTGGGTTGCTCTTAAATTTATCGAGGGCTTCGTGTGAATCAATTACCACTACGGTCGACTTATCTGATTCTTTAACATAGATTCGGCTGTTCTGAGTCCAGATATGTTTCCATCTGATCTTTTTCCTCAGCTTGTTAACTTCGCCGAACAGCTCTTTCTTGTACCTGGTCAGGGATTCGGATATGTATACTTTGCTTTCGGCAGTGATACCAAGATCGGGGAGGTCAATAGCTTCCTTGTCAATAAGCTTCCTTCGGGTTCGTATAGAAGCTATTCCTCATATCCCTTCTCGTGAACTTGACTATTATCTTTGGTGGTGCATCTTCTTTAAAAGTTGGCAATGGGTGAGAGGTCGATATATCTCCCTCCTTCACTTGCACGCCGGGTCTGCGAAGCAGACGCCATACGTTAAATAGTTAATATTTGATTTAGTTTAGATCTCCAACGAGATAACGTAATTGTACGCGCATAGTTGGGGCTTTTAGTCTAGTACCAAAGATTGTAATCAATTTAAGCTTTTTCTTCTTATCCCTTTCTTTTTTAGCATTTGTAAATAAACTTCAGAATAGCCCTTTGGCAGAGTTAATTAACAATTAATGAATGAGGCTGAGTATCTTAGGAAGAATTATGGAGCTCGAGGAGGGTGCGGATAACACCCTCCGAGATCCCCATAATTCTTCATATGATACGAAAGCCGAATTCAATAATTGTTTTATTATTCATTCAAAATTATTCCTAGATTTAAAAACATGGCTAAAACATGCTTACCTCCATCGATCCATCGATGTTAAGTTCATCTTCGATAGTCCACGTTTAGGTTTGTCCAGCTCCGCAAATATTATCCAAATAGCAGATGTCCTTCGAGTTGTCTTCTTGCTGTTCTTGTCATGTTTTTTTCTCTTCTAGTTCTTACTCTTGAAACGAGTGAAATGTCCGCCATTTTTTAAGTTCACAATCAAAGCAACTCAACCTCGTCCCCAGGTCTTCTCGGTTAACGGTGCCTTAACCTGCAAAAACGATGCATTTTTTACGTCATTTCCTCGTTAAACACAAAATTCTTCCAAATTTGGTCATCAGTAACTGGTTATGGTGAATTAAACGTGTGCTTTTAGCCAATCAGAATCGGGAAAATATTTTGAATGAATAATAAAAAAAATTATTGTATGGTTTTGTAAACCGAATATTGATAAAATCGCATACTTTTTTATGAACTGACCTTCCGTCCACACGAAACCAGTGAACCGGTCACCGAAACCGCCTTCTTTTAAAACCGCTGTCCAGAGGGATCTCCCTTTCAAGTGAATTCGTGCAGACGACTGAATCGGATATTTTTTTAAGACAGTTACGGAACTGCAAATACAAAATAGTGGTCAACAACCTTTTGTTAACTTGCATATTTTATTGTTCTTTGTACATTTTCAATATATCAGAATATCAGGATAACATGGGATAGAACTGCGCCAAAACCGTAGGGTGATGCACCACAGGGTACCACCAGCTCTTTCTCGGAATCAATGTATACGTACTAGTACGTCTGATGATTGAAGTTGGTTTTCGGCTTTATCAAATGCTTCTTGCTGTTCCACCTCCCACTTCCAAACAACATCTTTCCTCAGTAAACTATGTAGTGGTTCCAGAATGGACTACAGGTTAGGTATGAACTTCCCATAGAAGTTAAGCATACCAAGGAACGACTTCAGCTCAGTGGGGTTTTTCGGTGCTGAGGCCTCTTGAATGGCCTTCACTTTTTCTTCAACAGGATGAAACCCCCCTGCGTCAGCTCGGTTCCCCAGGCACTCCAAAACTGGCTTCATGAACTAACACTTCACTGCCTTGAGTCGTAGGCCAGCTTCCGAAAGGCGTCTCAAAACTTTCTCGATGTTGTCTAAGTGCTCTTCAGTACTGGGGCTGTAATAAGGATGTTATCTAACAGAACTCCCGATGAAGGGATTCCTTAAAGCAAACCCTCCATGGTTCTTTGGAAAATACCAGGTGCTGAGGCTACCCCGTAATGGAGACGGTTATACCTGTGCAGCCTGCCCTTATGTGTGTTAATCGTTAAGAATTCCTTACAGTTCTTATCAACAAGCATCTGTTCATAGGCGTGGCTTAAATCTAGCTCAGTAAATGTTTGACCTCCAACTAACTTCGTGTACAGATCATCAAGCTTGGTGGTAGGATAGCCATCCAGTTTTGACACTTTATTAACAGTGAGCTTATAGTCTCCACAGACTCTTACAATGTCATCACTCTTCATGACAGGGACAATCGGGGTGGCCCACTCGGAATACTAGACTGGTTCAATGGTCCCTGCCCTCTCAATTCTTTCTAGGTCTTGTTCAATTTCCTCCCTCAGAGCATACGGTACTGGTCTGGCTTCACGGAAGATAGGGGTAGCCGTGGGTTCAACATGGATTTTGGCTTTTGTCCCTTGTAGAGTTCCAAGCCCCTCCTCGAACAGCTGAGCATGTTTTTGCAAAATCTCTTCCAGTCGCTTATTGTGTGACGAAAGTTGCTTGATTATGGGCCAATTCAGCTTGATTTTCTCGAGCCAGTTCCTACCTAGCAAAGCAAGCCCCTTGCTGCCTACAACCAAAAGCGGCACGGAGTATTCAACCCCGTCATAACACACATTCACAGAACAAGACCCTTTAGGTTTGACTTCTTCTCCGGTATATGTGCGAAGGACAATTCCTGACTCTACAAGTTGGGGTGCTTGACCTGCTGAAAAAAAGGTAGTTGTATACTTCCTCGCTAATCATAGACAAGGAGGTCGCCGTATCAGCTTCCATTTCAAGGGGTTGCCCAGCAACAATTAGCTGTACTTTGTAGGGTGATGGGCGTTGACTGCTAAAGTTAAACAAGGAATATGCACCCACACGCCTATCCTCTCTTGGTGTTTGCATGGCACCTTCAAGAAGATTGACAGGCTCGGAGTTGCCCGATTTCTGCTCATTAACTGACAGTGGTTGTTTCCCTTTCTTTTTAGCTCGGCACAATCGAGCTAAATGGCCAACTTTACCATAACAGTAGCATTTGGCATCTTTAAAATGACAGTTTTTTGGGGTAGTGGTTGCCGCCACAGCGAGAGCACTTAACTTCGCTCCCCTTATTAACTTTGACATCTACTTTGTTGAGAGAGGCATTTCCTCCCTGACTGTCTGCCTTTTGTATCCCTGAAGCATCCTTATCTGCTGCTTCAATGGCGAGAGCTAGATCAAGTGCCCGCTTCCATGTTAATTTGGGTTCAGCTAATAATCGGCGCTGTATCCGAATTCACGGTGTTGAGACAGGTTTCTTAATTCCGCTAAAAACATTGCAATGGTCTCACCTGATTGTTGGGAGCGTGTGTTAAACTTGAATCGCTGAACAATAGCCGAAGGTTTAGGCATGAAATGGTCTTGGAGGAGTTTTGCTAAATACTCATAGCTTTTATCCTTTGGACCTTCTGTGGCAACCAAACTTCGCACCAGTTTATAGGTTTTCGCTCCCACACAAACCAGAAAAATGGATCTCTTCTTGTCAGAATCTGTGATTTCATTCGCTTCGAAGAGATGGTTTACACGCTCGATGTAATGGCGCCAATCTTCAGTTTCGTTGTACTCGTCCAACTTTCCAAACGTGGTCATGATTCACGTAGACTTCCCTTCCTTTGTCTACCTTGCAGTGGGCGTCCGTACACGTTCCTCGTCGCCAAAAATGTAGTGTATCGAGCAACTAAACAGCTTAAATACTCTCACGGAACACAACGAGTCAACAAGCACATGGTTCGGACTAACAGAACAACACGACAGGGGTCACGTGACCCCTAACAAGTTCCCAGGACCGCACAGTTCTGAGATTGTGGTTGGTTTCTAGATATTAGATGGATTGTCAACTGGTCTGTGGTGTTCGTTGAAACAGTCTTTGAGACGTCGTTTGGTTTCACCTATGTATTGTTTGGAGCAGTGATTGTATTGTATCATGTAGGTGACGTTTTTGGAGTTGCAGTCGATGTGATGAGGGATAGGTCTGGTTTCGCCTGTAGATTGGAATGTGTATGAAATTTGTCCCTCAAATATGTATTTACAAGTGAGATAGTTTTTTCCGCATGGGTATGAGCCCCGGGGCTGGTTGTGTTGTGTGGGATTGAGAAGTGTGGCCTTGAATAGAAAATCACTGAGGTTACTACTACGTCTATAAGCTACAATAGGTGCGGCTTTAAAGACGTTATAGCAACGGGGGAAAGAAAGAAAGAGCATATTAAAATTAGGCAGCTTGAGAATTTTTAAGAGTATATCTCAAAAGTAGCGATTGCAACGGCCGCCGAGAGTTACAAGCATTTGTATGAGAAAAACAACTTTTGCCATCCAGTCACGCTTGCAAGGTCTTCCATACATATCCTTGTAAATTTCGAAATTTTCAAAACTGTCCTGAAATATTTCCTTAAGCATTACGGAGCTCAAGTCTTCTTTTAATTCATAACAGGCAATTTGAGCCCTTACGAGGCCCTGCGCCAAAGAAACGACCGATCATTTCTTGCTAAAAAATAAAATCGGCCGATTTTTATCTCCCAAGTAGAGGTTATCGAATACTATTCAAAAATGAATTTTTTGTTTTCTTCACTGAATTCATCTGAATTTTTTGTTTTCTTCAGTTTCGCTTTAAACCAAACATATCGAGCCGCAAACTTTCTCCGTCTGATAGCAGCAAAATTAGGCCTAAAATAAGCCCTCGCAAAAAACGGTTCAGAAATCACTATCGCAACGCAAAATCATGAGAAAACTACACAGTGATGAAGAAAAAGGCCTTTTAATGCAACATCATTTAATGAACATCGAAAAACTGCCGAAGTGAATAAAAAATAAATTTTCAAATATTGCTTACTAAATAAGATAGAGCGCTGGAGCTGATTTTAAAATAATTATTTTTCAAAAGTCCAACGCTGTTGAAAGCAATCACAGAGATGAATCAGACATTGGAGGGATGTAAATTACGATTCTGGAAAAACATTTTTCGGCCAAAGTATATTGACGTTGTACAAAGCGTTCAAAGTTACCGTGTTTACCGTTATCTTGCTACTTCGGCGAAACACTTCTCTGTTGCTAAAACGGCCGTGGATAGCGTGGTAAACGCCACTTTAATCCTTGCTAGGCGCTCAGAGACCATCCTAAAGAGAAGAACGAAGAATTAAAAGAGAAAGGAAGATGAAAAATAGGCAGAAAAAGAAAATAACTCAAAATTACCATCTGCTGACGAAACTTGAATCTGGAAAATGTCGTCGCGTGACAGCGGCCATTGACGTCATTTGTCTAAACTGCGGCGGAATCTATTTAAAACGAATGCACAAATAGGAAAACAACTTTTTCGCGGCCAGAAAGCATTTAGTGAAACAATGTAATGTTATTTTTTCTCAAGCGATGGTGACTTCAAAAGAAAAAATTCCCGAACCGCCGCACCGTTTTGGCCTCAGCGTGATCTGAGTGTTGTGGGGTCACGAATCGACGCTTCTGGCCAGCGGTCTATTGAAAGATATCTGACCCGATTTTTTAACTCGTGGGTACGCGCGAGCGTACCACGAGTTATTGCAGGGAAAGAGATATGCAAATGAGTCACTCGCTCACTCGTAGTAGACGCACTTCGTAATTAATCGGGTCCGAACTCGAGAGCGCGAAGATCTATCGTTTCCAAAGAAGCACGCGCTCGCCGAGCGTGCATCGTGCGCTACAGCACGATTAGGATAGAGGTCTTACCAAATTTAAGACACGCAGGAATCTTTCAAATTAGTACGATTCAAAAGCCTTTGACCCGTCCAGGC